TACACATGCTTTCCCAACCAAAGCAGAAATGTCTCCTTTGCTTTATACTAAGCAAATTTAGCTGTGGGGTTTCAACACCTAGAACAAAACCAATTCTTTCATATTTTTTTTTCCCCTGGCATACAAGCTAATAATCACTGCCTTCATTTCACAGAGGATCCTATTCAGAACCACACTGCAAATGAGTGGCAGCTCCAGTATGGTCACACCAGTGAGATATTAAGAGATTTACATATGTGTGCATGTGCACGTGTGTATGTGTATTGCTTGTACCATGCACAGGAACATGCCTGGCACATAGTAAGTACTCAGTAAATGATAGTAGTAACATTGTCATAACCAATACCACCACCATTTTCATACCTAACTTTTGCCTTTTTACTCTCATTATCATTTTTATAGAGTCATAAAGTGTGACTAGGATGCTATCTGATCAATGTTTTCTTTTCTTTATTTTTTGTGGCTGGCTGGTATGGGGATCCGAATCCTTGACCTTGGTGTTACAAGGCTGCGCTCTAACCAGCTGAGCTAACTAGCCAGCCCACTAGCCAGAACTCTTTTTTTTTATGATCAATTTTCTATTGTGACTTGTGGATCAACTTTAATTTATTCAGCTCGTATTTAGGGAGACCTTACCACATGCTAGGTTCCCCATGAGGTGCCACGGATATAAGAGTAAAGTTGAACTCAGCCCAACCCTCCAAGAGCTCTAACATTTCATGATCAATTTTCTATTGTGACTTGTGGATCAACTTTAATTTATTCAGCTTGTATTTAGGGAGACCTTACCACATGCTAGGTTCCCCATGCGGTGCCACGGATATAAGAGTAAAGTTGAACTCAGCCCAACCCTCCAAGAGCTCTAACATTTCATGACTTTACAATCTGACCCTAAAATTACTTAGTGACCTGACAAAAACATTCAGTGTATGGTTTGTGCAAATTGGAAAGCAAAACATCACTTCCATTACTGTCACAATCAGCAAAAGCCAGTGGGAGCTTGTGCTCAAAATGAGCAACTCCAACATCAAGTCCGCACTTCTATTCTCCTCTGAAGTAGAGAATTATAGAATGTGGGAACTAAAACAGACCTTAGGGAAAACTGAGACGTCTGTTGCTTATAAAACTGACTTTAAAAAAAGAACATTATTCAGAAATGAAAATAATTTTTTAGCTTTTTAAAATTACTTTCCCTAAGTTGTATTTTGTAGAATCAAAACTAGAAGGAACCACGGGAGCAGGAACTTAACATAACTTGCAACACTGGTTGTACATTGGTATTACCAATGGCACTTCTAAAAAAAAAAAAAATACAGATGCCTAAACATCGCATACTGAGATTCAGATTCTGTATGTCTCAGCTAGAGCCTTTTTAAAAAAAATAAAAATAAAAAGCTATCCCCACCCAATTGCTTCTGATATTAGGTAATATCAGTAAAACACCACATGATAACTTCTACTATGTGAGGAATTGGCACAAATGCTACCTTATTTGATCTACATCATGCACGTGCAAGGCAAGTATTATTATTATTATTCCCATTTCTTTAGATGCCAAACTAAGCTTAGAGAAGGTAAGTGACTTGTCTAAGGTCATAAAGCAAGTAAAGGCAGGATCTGGGATTCAAGCTTGCATCCCATCTCCAGAGTCTTACTGTCTTTTCTCTACACAACACTGAACTCATGCTTTGCATAAAATTAGAGCCAGAAGGGGTTGCCCAAAAGATTATCTAGTTCAAAACATCCATTTTTTGGATTAAAAAAGGATTATCAGGGCAGGAGTAGTAACCTGCTCAAGGGTATACTGCAGCTTAAGGGCAGAGTCTGAATGAGAGGCCAGCTCTTGACACCCTCAGTTCAGCTGTCTTTTCAATACACACTTTCTCTCAAAAGCAAAACGTATGTTCTCCACTTTCATAAAGAATTGCCGAATCTTCTCTTGAACTAGAGTATTCTGACTCAACACAAAACTTTATCTTAAAGAGTGTCACACTTACTCATAGGTGTGAATTAGCCAAATATACAAAATATTTTACACAGAGGGGCACAAGTACGTATACTACCCACCAATAATATAATCCCATTTTAAAAAACAGTGAAAAACCTTTATGGGACAAATTCTATATCTTTTGTATATTAAACAAAAACAACACAACTATTTAGACTCACACTGGTGTTAGCTAACGGGATTTCTGAATGCAAATACTATGTTAAAAAATAAAAAACAGAAAGCACTCTCCTGAGTGGACAGCAGAGGAAGGAGGAAAGGACACAGGATGGGAAGATTGGAGCCAGGCACAGGAAGGAGGAGCTGCCCTTTAAAAAACATGAGTGATGGACCAGCGGGCAGGGAGATGTTTATGGAGAGGAGACTGGTAAACAAATCAGTAATGGTCCCAGCTACCTGGGCCTGTGGATAAACAATGTCTCCCCTCCCCCCAACTCCAGGCCTGACCCAGGAAACTATCTGACTCCAGAAATTTAAAAATGGTATTTCAACCTCTGCTTGATTTTCAGATGGGGGGACAGGAAGAAGGGGATGGACTAAAAATACTAGAAACTGAAAAGTACTGGATCTTGCCAAGAGCAGATGTCAAAAATGAGCTCGGGAGATTAAGAATTAAAATAGATGCTACGAAGTAGCCAGTTCTGTCCAAAGTAGAAAAGACCTGTTCTTTAAAGCATAGAAAGCCTCATCCTCAAGATATGAATTCTTGGGAATCATGAAAGGTGTGGATTTAATGAGTTTATCAATCTGCTTACCAGAAATGAGATTCATTAGGAAGAACTGGTGAAGTGGCCATTTACTTTCTCATTTAACCTAGCTGCTGTCATGTTCTTTCATCAAACCTTCTCATTACACCCACACCACACAGGAGGGATGATTAAATGTCAGCCCTGATTCAAATAACTAATGTATGGCAGAAACAAATATATTTATATGCTTTCAAAAAAGATTAATAGTAGCTGGTGCTAGGCCTGCCAACTGCAGATGTACACACTTGCTGTCCTATATATAAATTAAACACAAGGCATATGGTGTATTTTAAAGACTGCTGATGTTACAGTGATTTTAAATTACTCAGGTTCTGGAATAAACTATGTAGATATGTTGACTAATGTGGCAATATATTCTGGATCTCTCCATATGAATGTTATAAAATATAATAGCATTAACAAAAAGAAGGTCTTAGGAATTAAGAAGAGAGAAGTCAAACATTTGAAATCAAGGGGTATGTTTCTATAATCAGTTGTTTTCCAGTTTAGGCAAATTCATTACAGTGTGCTTTCAGTACGTGTTGTAAATTAGCAGATTATAATGAGACTTCATGTTTGGTCCCCATAGAAGTGAATCTAATGGGACAGAAAACATCAACACATTGAAAACAGACAAGAAGGAGCAAAGTAGGCCACGGCACTGGACTGGAAATCACAGAGTAGAGTAAACTTTGCAGTCCTACTGTGGGCTAGCACCTTCCTACCTCACAGGGAAGAGGTAAAGATCAGATGAGAAGCGTGAGCAGGGATGAAAGTGCTTTGTAAATCATCAATTTGTCTATAAGTGCCGGTATCATCATCATCATGCCCATCATTATCATCATCAGCATTCTTATGCTCAAGTTATTTCCTACTACATTTTGGCCACTGTTTAAAAACCAATTATCTCAGCAGTCAAGCAATCTAGGTACAAGAAGAGACATCAAAGTTATATTGGCGAAGACACATTTTTAAAAATAAAATCTTCGCCATGGCTTTTGTAACTTCTCAAGAAGGGTTGGCTGAGTGTTTTGATTCACATAGACACTTGCTCTGTATTTTGGATTTCCTTCCAATGACCCCAACCATTTTGAGTGCAGAACACGCAGCTTTATGACAGCATGAGACCATGGCTGCTGTGACGGAAATGAGCTCCTCTGTTGCAATAGAACCAAGGGAAAATGAAAGTCTTGTTCTAGATCTCTTTTCAGGGGGCCGGATATGTTGGGCATGAAATAAATTATGTTGGCAAGGATAAGGAGAACAACCAATTTCAGGGGGTGTAGGGGTTGCAGGCAGGGAGAAAGAAGGAAGCCTAATGTCTTAAGATTCAGAATATCCCAGTTCTCTGGGATCCTCAACTACTTCATTAAAATGTATGTTGAAGGACCTTTTTAATATGATTGATGGAGCTTTTGTTCCTGCCAAGTATAAGTAATCATATATCCATTCAATTATTCAATACCTATGCACTCATGAATACCTAAAAGGAATCAGGTATTGTGTTCAATGCTGGGGATAACAGCTGTCAACATGTAGACATGGGCCCTAGCTATATGGAGCTTATATTCTAGTGAAAGAGAAAGAGTCAAAGAAAAATAAATAAATATATAAGAAAAATGCCTTGTGATAATAATGATCATAATAAAGCCTATAAAGAAATGGAGAGATGTGGCAGAGATTACATGGAGGTGTTGGGGAACTACTTTAGGTAAAGTGATCAGAGAAGCCCTCTCTCAAGAGGAGATCTGAATGAGACAGAGCAAGCCAAGCAAAGAGCTAAGGAAATAGCACTTCAGGCAGAGGGAACAGGAAGAGCAAAGGCCCCGAGGCAGGAAAAGGGCATAAAGCATTAAAGGAACTTCAGAAAAGAAGCCAGCGAGAGGAGTGTGACATGAGGTTACAGGAGTGGCAGGGAACCACATTTTGCAGCTGGTGCAGGCCAGGTTCAGGAGACTTAAAAAATAAAGGTTTAAAAAGTCACAGTCTGATTTATGTTTTAAAGTAGTACTCTAAATGCATATAACATAATGTAACATAATGTACAAACCATAAGCTTTATTCTAAAGAGGTTAGCATTTGGAGACATCAGTAGGCATTTTGAATACATTTCCAAACATTTAAATAAAAATGACCTTAAAAGAGCAGACATTTAAAAAGCCCCAAATAGTCTCCTGAAGACCAATTAATTAAGCAATGGACTGGGGGTTGAAAACATCAAAGAACAACGCAAACCTACATACCTCCTCGTTGCACCAACAATGTGACCTCACTTCCCTTTGGACATTCGATCAGCATATCCACCACTTGGTTGTGAGTCAGAGCCTGCACGTTCTTCTTATTAACTTCCACTATAAGATCCCCTTCCTTCAGCCCTCGGCACCGTGGACTGTCAACAATCTGTTTTACTCTTTGGCCGCCGCCACCAGGACTGTCTGCGATAGTAAAACCAAAGCCCATTGGCCCTTTGACTATATGAACAGTTATGAGTTCTGGCTGAGTGGCTATGGAGGAAGCCAAAGAGACAGTGTCATTGGGATAACCATGGGAACCGTTTGAAGCCACGTCAGCAGGGCTGCTTGGCCGGGCATCCTTCATGCCATTGACTTTGCCTGTTTTACTACTGTGGCTAGATGGCGAATCATAGGTCTCCTGCCCATTCACAATAATTGGTTCTTTATCCAAAATGGCCACCGAGGTCACTAAACTTGTATTGGGGTCATCTGGGTCAAAAGGCAATGGATAACCTCGGCAGAGTTCAAGGTCCACACTGGCACCGATGGGAATGGACTGGAAGATTTTCACAACTTGAGCATGTGTGTGTCCCAAAACACAGGTGTCATTCACACTGACAATTACATCCCCTGTGAAAGATAAAAGTGTGAGGGTTAAAAAAAACAGCACCCAAAAAAGTTAAATCAATATTATAACATTCTACCAATATGAAGTGGAACCCAATTTGGGGGTGATACTATATGGTAGAAAGAGACCGATTCCATTACTTATTTTAACTAGTAATAAAGCATTCTTTCAGCATCTAGAGTCTTCTCTGCTAATGAGAATATAATCATCATTGAGAGAACACTGGAACTCTCTTCTAAAAAAAAATTCTCATTGCAGAAATCCAAATTTAGAATTCATTTATTCAAATATATCTACACTTTTAGTAAATTACTGCTTTACTGTACTCAATAGCACCCTAACAGTTTCCCAAAGTTAAAATGGCTCTAAGGGTTTTAATCTGTAGCAAGGGATGAATTTATGTAATGGAGGGATCTGGCTCATTCTAAAGGTGTTTAAAGGACATTTATAAACCTGTGAAATCATAACACTGTTAGGTCTTGTTTGGGTGCTGGGTAGAAGTCTCACCACGCAGAACCAGATAAGGCCGTGTGGACTCTACCTGTTTCCATCTTGCCGTCCAACGCGGCAGGACCATCCAGGACCAAGCTCTTGATCTGGAGAAACTCATCAGGCTCATCCCCTCCAACGACTGTGAAGCCAAAGCCCCGACTGCTTTTCCGCAGCTTCGTGTGAATGAACTTGCCTTTCAACTCAGAAGGGTTTCGTGTAAAAAAGGGTTTGCCTGGATTAAAACAAGAAAAGTACAAGGAATGTCACCATGAGTGAAAAGGTGAATTAAATAAGATATGAGACAACATGTACATAACTTTCCATGCTTGTGTGGGGCCTTTGGCACATACATGTATTAAGAAAGTCCTCTCTTGATTTTAGTAATAAGGGTGCTTCCAAGCCCCTTTGTCTAAGGTCTCAGTCACCTCAATCACTTCCTTGGTTTCAGTTCATGTAGTTTGACAGCAATTGAGCTGCCATGAGCTGCTTTACAGAAAATGGAGTAAGTCTTGCTTTCTGTCTTTTATATTGTTTTACTTTTTATTTTTTAATACAGCTTCTGATATTCTGCTTTGGGCTTGGCTTCCACTTGTAAAACCAACTGAGCGGGCCGGCCCAGTGGCGCACTGGAGAGTGCGCCACTTGGGAGCGCGGTGGCGCTCCCGCCGAGGGTTCAGATCCCATGTGGAGACCGGTTCCCGCTCACTGGCTGAGCGCGGTGCGGGCGCAACATTGAGGGTTGCAATCCCGTTGCCGGTCCCCGGTACGGGCGTGACACCGAGGGTTGCGATCCCGTTACCGGTCAGTAAAAAAGACAAAAAGGAAAAAAAAAAAAAACCAACTGAGCAGAAACTTTAGTTTTTAATCAAACAGAAAACTCATGCTGAAAATACACAAATAATATCAGGAAACATATGATGGTCACAAAGAATAACTTAACAAAGATGCAGAATCACTATTTTCAAAATTAAGGGTCATAACTTTACTTTGAATTAAATCCTAGACTCAAATAATTTTTCTATGTATTTTCACCTTTTAACAATTTCTGACATAGCCAAAGCATTCCACTAACATTAATTGTGTGAAAAAAGCTTAGGATACGTGGCTTAGGATATTTTAGAAAAACCACAAACCCCCCAAAAAGCCCCTAACTAAACTAAGTACTTGCTAACAAGAGCTACACAGCTGAAAATTCAGATATCTTATTTAAAATGAATTAATAGATAAATAACTAAATGACTGTCAAACATGCTACCTAAGATTATATCGAGTTTTCCTGATATATTCACAAATAACATTTTGGACACAAACCAAAAAGTTTCTTTTAGGTTTATTAGTTGGGCATTTCTCTATAAATGAGAAACTCACTGGAATTTCTCTGGTTATCTCAAATAGTAAGCATAATTCCTTGAGCAAACTCTTTCATCTCTCCTAATGTCACTTCCTGTGTCCTGCCCTTGCCACAGATTCCCCATCTGCCCCATTTCTTTTCTATCAAAAATGTTATACAAAAAAATAAAAATAGAAAAAGGGAGAAAAAGCGGTCCCTACACACCCCTGCACTAGGAGCCTGGCACCAAGGAAGGGAAATTATTTTCGCTTAGCTATATCTAAAGAGTCTTAAAAGGTCTCTGGGCATGCATACAATTTTTAATTGCATATTTTAAAAGTTTCTGGCTCTTCAAAAGAAGGCTCTTTTAAATTGCCTGTAGTCAGAGGTCCGCTCACTAATCTCTTCTTTAGCATAGTCCCAAGGCTTATTGGAAGCTTGGCAAACTACAGCCCTGTCACCGTGGCTAAAGAAAGACAAGGGAGTAGGATTTGCCATGCAAAGTTATCTGCCAAGGCACCAGGAACCAGGAGGCTGACCTGTTATACTGCCAAGGTCAAGAGTTCAGATCCCCATACAGGCCAGTTGCTGGGGGGGTTACCAAGAGGTCTGGGGAGACAGCTGCCAAGACAATCAACTGATGGAATATTGAATACAGGTGAGATAACCCCCAAAGTAAGGGGACAAATGACCTATGCTCCTGTGGCAGTGCCACCTAGAGAGTTTGGGGAGCTTGAAGGGAAACACATTTCAGTTACACAGAGACACCTACAGCTGTCACTTTCTCAGTGAGACCATCCCTGACCACCTTATTAAAAACTGCAACACCTCCTCCGACATTCCTGATCCCCCTTTCCTGCTCTATTTCTGTCCTTAGCATTTACCACCTTCCAACATAGTACACATCTTACTTATTGGTTTGGTTTTCTGTCTTACTGTCCCCTACCCTCATGCATGAGGGGCACTTCACGTGCACGCACATAAAACCACTAGAATGTAAGCTCCATGAGGATTTGTGTGTGTATATCCATTTCTAGAATACTGTCTGGTACATTCTATGTGCTCCAAACATTTTTGTTCAGTGAATGAATAAATAAAAGCACCAAGAAATGAGATTTAACATGTCTTTGAGAAGGCTCAAAAGAAGTGTTAGGGTGTTGGAGCTTTTCACTCTTATTCTAGACAAAGTTAGAAAATAGGAAAACGTGCCTGGCAGTGTATCTGATTTTTTTTTTAAAAGCCATTAGCATAATTTGTGCTTAAAATGTTTTCAATTTAATACAGACATGAGTAGAGCTTTGAAATTATGTGACTGACTTCCTTTTCCAATGCTTAACCAGGAAGGGAAGATCAGAAGGTTTCACATTTATGCACATTTTATTACTTTTTATGCATAGATGGGTCATTAGTTAATGTACTAGCTTTTGGAAAGAAATGCTTTTCTTCCCATAAGCAGTGGAATTTGGAGCTCTCTGCTGCAGCCCTGTGGTATACGCAATTTTCTGAGGTCCTAACCTCTGTGACTAGTCACCAGTTGTAAGACCTGGTTATGTATGAAAATCACCCAGGTAGCTTTTAAAAATGTATTCTTTCCTAGTTTCCACTCTAGACTCACTGAAATCATAATCTTCTGGGTCTTATCCCAAAATGCTGCACTTGCACAACCCTTAGGTGCCTGTTTCCCTGCCAGACTGGTGCTATTCTTGGCACTAGTGTTTGAATACCCCAGACCAGTGCTGTCCAACAGCACTTTCTGCAATGATGCAAATGCTCCATATCTGCACTGCCCCATATGGCAGCCATGAGTCACATGTAACTATCGAGCCCTTGGACCGTGGCTAATGGGACTGAGGAACTGAACATTTGCCTTTTTTTAAAAAAACTAATTAGTTTAAATTTAAATAGCAACACATAACCAGTGGCATCCATACTGGAGACTTAAGACTAAGAAATGAGGTATCCCAGGAAAAAAAACAAAATAATGAAAATGTTTTAGACAGAAGTTAAACTATTCATAATGAAAATCAGTGTTCAAAACTGTGCTCTTCTACTTACCGGCTGTGTGGCCTTTGGCAAGTTACTAAACCTCTCTCTGCCTGAGTGTCACACGTGTAAATGGAGGTAATGATGGTACCTACCTCATATAAGAGTTGTGAGGAATAACTGTATCAGATAATGTAAGTAAAGGCACTTAGGGAGGTGCCTGGCACATAATAAAGCTCAATAAATGAGTTATTATTTTGATGGTGGTATGGGTGGAGTAAGTACAGTGAGGGGTTAGCCGCAAAAATCTCTCTCCAACATAAGCTTGAAGCTGGAGAGTTTTGTAGAGCACATCTCTGAAATTACCACTTGCTGGGATTAGAAGTGTGCTCTTGAGCAGGGGAGAGTTTAGTTGAGAAGGGAACTTAGCAAAATTAATACCAAATGATCTAACCAAGTCAGCTATATAGTTTCTTTCTGATAATACTATCAACATTAGATATTACACCAAACACTAGATATAGCTGATCAAGACGCATAACCAGCAGGCAGGTAACCCAGAGTCATAACAAATGAGACTAAAGTCTAAGTTAATGTTATTGTAATCGCAGCTTGAAGTCAAAGGGTATGGACTATAACTGGTTTCTTTGGTATCAATTATATTCCAAAAATTATAATAATGCTTGAAAGATGAAGATAACATGGAGACTACAAAGTACAAGTATTGTAAGAATAAGTGAGTTGATAGCAGTGAGAGTCCTGACTACTATCAGATCCAAGAGGGCTAAAAAAAAAAAAAAAA